GTGTTCTTTCTTACGACGAATTACAAACCTTGGGATGCACGGCGAGGCATTGCGAAACATGACATATACGTAGTGAGACATAGTATTTAGTCCACCCCCCCCCATATGAGGGGCAACTTCGCGCAAATATTTTATGGTTATATTCGTATACGCACATGTCATCAAACAACTTCGCCTATAAGATGAGGCCTCTTTAAGTTTTACTAAAAAAAGATAACATAGCGGGCAGAGAGGGGAGCCTTCTCCAGAATCGTTGAGTTTGGAAAGTTCAGTGAGTTATAGAATTAAGTGCTTAGCTTTTATGTAAACCCCAGTAATCCTTCAAAATCCAAGACAGCCTTGCAAAATTTTTTAAGGTCTTTTTGTTGCCGCTACGCTTCCTTTTCCTGAGATCTCGGACTGGGTTTCGCAAGATAAGAATGCATCTCAAAAATCTTTGCGGATTGTGGCTAACGCAACCCCCAAAAAGTGCTGTCACCACGCCCCTCCTTCCCCCCCCCCCCTCCCTATAACATAAAGTTTCTATACCGGCACAAAGATAAGTATACAGTTACTTATTATATCCTGAATGTAAGTCGCAAGTTCTCAAAAAAGCAGCACCATGCCTCGTGCTCAATAATGCCGTGATTGATTCTCATTTCCTAACCGGCTTTGGTGGCTTCGATAATCTTTCTGAAAGTCTTTAACTTCAAAAAAATTGCTATTGAGTAAATGCACCGAACACCAGCAAATTTCGAAAGCGTCTTAAAATTCAATTATCAGTACTATTTCTTATTCAAAGCTGATTACACCGCTCAAGGGCAAAAATTGTGCCCTCCTTGATCCGCAGCTATCGGTTCTTTCACAACAACAAGCGTAACACTACCTGTGCAAGAAATGTAAAGATTATGAATCATTGTCTGCTTTATCATTAAAAAAAACTCATGTTGCATAAGAAAAGTATAACAATTTTGATTTTCAATAAAATAAACGAAACGTTAGACCTCTCTTTTCATTTTAAAACAAGGCGCTTTACTCGCAAAAGGAGCCGACGGTTTTAGTTTCAATTTATAATTATGCAAGCGTTCAAACAGATGCCTGGTATTTAGTGCAAGGATATCTCACGAGGGTCCATTTAGTCAACAAAAAACTGTTCTAAAGTCGTCTTTCTAACCATCATTGATTGTCAGTGAAAGAATTTGTACACTATTTCTGCTTTTCGAAGTGCGAGTTTTGAAGAAAACAAAGTGGAAGAAGAACGGTTCAAAATGTTTCAACCTGAATGGACTGTCATTACTTTTGGTTCTGACATAGTTCTTGAGAGTACGCGAGCTTAACAAGGCCTTTCTGCAGTATAAACCCCGCAAGAATCTAGCACTGCTAGATGCTTTAGATGTCTTTAATATACTTTCAATTTTTCATTGACTTTCAATCCTTCAAAGTGAAAATTTCCAAAACCATAGTTCTTTCTGTTCAATGGCAGCGTTGCGCAAAACTTGAAAAGCTGCAATTTTTCTTTTTGATCTGAGTGCCACCTCCACATCAATTTGACAAGCTATCAAACATAAACTACCACCATTCACGATTAAACGATACATGCAGTATGATGTCTGCGTAATTCTACCCTACATCGCAAAGAGCTTTCCGTGTTACTGCTCTGTTATGACACACCTGGAATTCCAAGAAAATGCTTTTCTTTGTGGAGTAGTTGAGCCTGTATGATATAAATCACGGTGATTAGCATGGAAAACTTTTCTCACCTGTGCATCCCCTGAGAATAAATGTCTGAGCCAGCACTTTTATTAATAACCAAACCTATGCATGTAATTGCGAAAATACGGAGCAGCTCTCCTCATGCCTCTCGTTCATCTTACATAAGTAAAGCGGAACGAAAATAATAATTTTCTGTTGATTCAATAGTCCTAGATTGATTGAGAAGGGAAAACTAAGTGGTCAATATCGAAGTGCTCAAACAAAAGGTTCTCTCCTTTCTGTTATTGCGAGTGGATTGATTTGTAAGGTCATGTCATGAACTACTCACATGCAGCTTGTCAAAGAAGTTGCGAATAACAAACGTTCCGAGTTTTCTATAAAAAATTTGTGGCATTTCATTTCAAGGTTGTTAGACGAGTAGCACACAGAAATAATATCAGTAGAAACAGCCAGAAAATTTTCATCTTTTCATCTTCTGCTTTGACCAAAGCCTGAATTTTTGACTTCACGTCTTTTCCAAAATGGCAAGGCGGGAGGGATCCGAACCATTCTGCTGCCTATAGCGGAAATAGACTTTTTTGTTTTTGTGACTTACGCAAAGCAAAAAATTTCAACCCTACTCCACCCGTTTCTTAGAAGCGAGTCGAAACCATCGACCCAGATGCCGGCGTTCTCGGCTAGGTAATTAAGGTTATGAAGGTTAAGGGAGCTAATTTTAAGTACATTCTGAGGGCTGTTATCACCTGACGATTAGTCTGTTTTTTTTTCTGTGGCAAAAAAATCTACAACGAATATTTATCAATTATGCAAACTTTGAAGAGAGAACAGTCTCTGAGTTCTTTCACCATATTTGTTTCCTGTCGAAGCCGCGGAAACCATTTGTGAGATTACCCAGTATATTCAGAAAATAGAGACATTTCCAGCACTATTTTCCCAGTAGAAGAAAGAGAAGTCATAAAAATGTACTATTTTGGTACCTGAAACGTAATTCAGCTAACTCTTTAGATGTACCAAAATTGCAGGAAAACACTGCCTTAAATAGCTCATGAAGTAAACTTCTTTTTTAACATAAGGTTTGCTATGCGCTCACTCTAAATGACACAAAATCATGTGTTTCTCGAAGTGAGCGAGGGCAGAAACCTTTGATCTCCGCAATGGAACGACATTAAAGAATGTATTATTTTGTAGGCAGACCATGACATTCGCAGATTAGCCACACTAGCTCAAAAAGGTTTGGCTCCATTCAATCCAATTTCGTTACCTAGGATAACGCAATAATTTTTTAACATCTCTTAGTCATAATCTAAAAAGGAGCGCTATGGCGGTGATACTTGCCCTAGTGTTCTTCCAGAAAGCTTCCATAGATAATAATTGTGAAATCATCTCTTAAGCTTTATTCCAGCAATATTCAGTAGCTATTAACAATGTTTTGTTTTTCAAATCATTGCATTTTTGATCGACATTACTTTGGCAAGTTCTGTCCATGCAGACATTCAATTTTTGTGGATAATTGAAGGTAAAGCAATTTCGAAGACAATCACGGGTTTGACTGTAAACTTTCCACTAAATAATCTGATTGCGAGTTATCTGCGTTTCAAGTGTTTCTTTCTACTTATAAGCAGATTTTTGAAGAAGCGAGTAATTAATTTGGCCCGCTCTACTTAACAGATTGATGACATCCCTCCCACTGACGTGTTCTGTGATTCAAGTAATTTTGAAAAAAACCGCGCGTGCAAATTGTCCAAAAGACTCCCATATAATGATTTCGAGCATACGCGCGTATGCACAAAATCATTATGTGGAAGTCTTTTTGACGCTTGTTCAAAAAACATGCAAACCATCATTTTTAAAAACTAGTGAACCAGTAATCAAAGGCGCTAGATTGCATCCGCGCGCTGGGACCGCCACGCGGTTTCCCGCTATTTGCACATATTTGAATTGCGCTTACGATTCTCTATATTTTAATACTTGTATCTTACAGAGTCCTATCGGAACACATACATGAAGATTTCTGCATCATTTTTTCCTTCAATAAGCTATGCAATGGCTGTGTGTGAGAATCTCTTTCCGAAGAAAGGGTTATAATATTGGGTATTTCTTGCCTTAGTTCATCTTTGTTTCCTCTCACAACAGTTGTACAAGTTCCAGCCTTCTCATAAGAGGAAAATTCTTGATCGAAATGGCATTCCCATACGAAATGTATATTGTATTAGAGAACATGGAATACTGATTTCAAAGGCACTATTCGGTGGGATTGCTGAGCTTAACCAAGATTGGTATGATAACTTTTATTGGCTGACGTCGACGTTTCGGCGATCTACGCCTTCTTCGGAGCCTGGAAAGACGAAGTCATAGGTGTCTATTCACTCAGACGTCAAGAACCAAGAACAGATAACAATGCCAAGATTCAAGGAAAGCCGAACTTTTACCGTACTGATTTCAAATCTGCTTTCGTTATCTGCAAAGCTCTTTTGGAAGGAGAGTTATGGAACTTTTTTTGAGCAGAAATTTGGCTCCGAGGCTACAATAAAATTATCCGTGTTGCCTGTGAGTTTAAATGGGGCTATGATCACTGCCAGGGTGCTCAGTGTAATTATTAGCTTCAGTCTAATATTTTACGCCGTCATTACTTCCTTCAAGCACTGGTAAGACTCAACCCCTGTTTTTACTTCAGCCAAACTCTTGAATTTTGCTTAAAAACATTCCCATTATTTCCTTCCCAGACAAGCTTTGCAGATAACAAAAGCAGATTCGGAATCAGCGTTCCATGAGCTATAAGACATTGTACATTTCATATGGAAACTCCACTTCGGCCAAGTATGTTTCCCTTGTTAATAAAACACAAATGACACATTTTAACAGCTAAACTTGCGTTCTAACTTTTGTAATGCTACCGCGATGACTCTATATGACAATCGGACCACCAGTATGTATTGTTACTGCATATGTTATCTTAGCACTTTTTTACACCTGAAAAACCAGTGTGCATACGTCTTAGGCACGAAAGTGCCAAATGGGAGCTCCGGCGTGCATACGCGGCGGGTATGCACGAGGTCATCGACGTGAGGTATAATGCTGGCAGTGGACAGGCTGGCGAGGAAATCGCAAATGTGTGTTTTTCAATTGGTAATTCATCGTGCACTTCCATAATCTACTAATTTTGAACTTTCGACCGTGGGACAAAGAACAGAATTGGGTTAGCATGGTAAGATAAGCATATTAGCTATTCCCTCGTACATTGTTAAAATGTGAAAATTGCTGATAACCGAATAATATTGCTGTTGCTGTGTGGTGAAAACATTGACTAACTCGCATCATAATAACTTCATACTGGTATCTTGCGCAAAAAGCTCAAATAGGTACAGGACCAAGAATCTCTCCACGCTAGTTCTTCGCTTGACCACCGGAACAGTCCTCACAGAAACATCCCCATTGGAGTCCTCTTTCTACTATTTTGCAGTGTCCGTTTTGGCAATTCTGAATTTCAATTTAATGAATCAATTCTCAAATTGATGATTCGAATAGATGAGTAAATAGGCATACTACCTGTTTCAAGCAACGTGCTCTGCACCCAGTATCTTTGGTAACAAGGCAAAATGACCTGCCAAAATGCCTCGACAGAAAAGACGCCTCGACTGAGATTTCCAAAACGAATAACAGTAGTGAAAATGCAACAAAATGACGCATCATTTTCTAAAAAAAGAAGAATGATTAGTTTGCAAATTTCATTTGATATTGATATAGTGCACTATAATAGGGGAGGTTCAAAACTTTGCCTGTTTTGTTTAGCTAGGTATCATTATAGCTCATTTCAACATACAGTAGAGCTCGCATGTCCTGGAGAAAACGACGCAGAGTGGCCCGATTCACGCAACATCGCCGTAGCGTGGCCATATCTCTCTTGAGAGTGGAAATTCTTGATTTAAAGGCACCATTCGACTCAACTCGGCGCGCACATCTTCTGATGTATTGAATTGCCAGCTTCAACATAGTAGGAGGCCAGATTTCACGATTCGTTCTAATTTTTTGCTCACGTAGGTTGCCCAGTGAGTGCAACCTAATAAGCGCACCAAGTAACCTACCGTAATCAAAAATCTAAAACGATTCCTACCTGGCTCCTATTGTGTCCAAGCGGACACTTTTGGGCATTGTAAGATGCGCCGCGCCGAGCTGAGTTGAATGGTGTCCTTGGATCGAGAATTCGTCCACACTGAAGCGAGATATAGACATGCGACAGTGATGTCACATGATCGGGCGACTGTGCGTCATTTTTTCAAAAATAGGGTATTGATGATGCTTGTTTTAGGCTAGCTTCCCAATCACCAGTTTTTAGGCACTAAGAATGTTCAGAATGCGTGGTTCTGCATCAGCCGACCTGTTCTTTGTCTTGAAAGACTCACTACCAGGAAAATTATCTGGCGTTGATACTGATCACATTGAAGCCCAAGAAAATTCATTTACAAATCTGAATTTGTAAAGATTTTGAGTATCATCGCAATACTTATAAAAAACAAGTAATTGCACAGCTTTCAACTCTTGTGGGATACTTTCACGAATTTTGTAAAATTCTGCTTTTACCTTTTGAGGCTAATGCAGGCACGATCCAGATTCAAAGATCGGGGAGCATAGAGAGATCTTTTGTTTAGTTAACGTACTATTATTTCTTCCAAAAAAGATGTTGCCTTTTTAATTTGTGAAAATTTCTTGCGTTTCTGTTGCCAGAAAATCCATACCAATGCAGCGTTATTGCATTTTGGGTTGGTTTGAGAAATGCAGCTGAGGAATGTACCGTAAGAGGAATAACTCGAGAACGTAAAGAAGTGTACAAAAATTCAAAATGACTCCGCCAATAGCAATTCTATCATTTATTAGTACGGATGTTTTCGATATCAAATTGGTACGCCCTCTACTAAAACCATTATCTTTGCCAATGCATGAGAGAATAGAAACTGTCAGTGCTATCGTACCCCGTTTCATCAATATAATGATGTTAAGCGCTTGGAATCGTTGATATAAGATGTTTATTCTTGAGCTTGTCGAAACCCTACTTTTATAGCTGAGCTATTTTCAAGCCCAATTTGTTGCCCAATGGTCACCATCCGCTTCTCTTTCATCAGCCCGAGAAGCCCATTTACAATGCAAGTCATCAGCCGAATCGACCCAGAGAGCAGCCGAAGAATATGACGAATTTTTCCCAAATGAATTATTTCATTATTTTGAGCGCGTACTCATTGTATAAGGGATACGTCTAGTGGGAAAAGTAGGCAGTCATAAACTCAGAAATTCAGCGCCTTTGAGACAAAAAATAAAATCTATGCAACAAAACTCTCAATCATACAAAAAAAAGCATTTATAATTGATTAATATATTTATCAAAATATCATGGTGTCCCCTTTACAGTAACTCACTAAAAGGAAGAACTCTGAGTTACTCACTCAGTCCCTGAGCTGACGTGATTGTCAGCGGGAATGAGGAAGTGCTATTCTCAAAGATTGCATCTTGCGAAACTTAGTTGAATTCTGGGCTCTTGGAACGATAGGGAGATACAAAAACAGACTTGCTGTTGGAACCATCCTTATTAGCATTTTATAATACGTTTTAGATTTTTTCAATATGATACAAAATCGATAAGTCAGTTCAAAAAATCGGAATTTGTAACTATTCCCAGACACATTTAATCACTACCAACTTCTCTCAGTTAAAAAGAGCATGCCATAAAATTTGGATCAAAAATGAACTTAAATTCTAGAGGTTGTAGCTATTTCAGTGACTAAAAATAGAAAAAAAAACGCTTTTTGGGTGTTCCTCTTCCTCAAGGAATTTTGGCTCAGAAAGCGCGAGATTTGCTCCCTCTAATGATCAAACCAGCGCAGAATTTGCTCCTCTAATGTGCATCAAACCAGAAGATTTTATTGTGGATAAAGTAACAGAACTTAAAAATTTTAGCGCAAGAATTACGCATCAACCTAATAGCATGCTAGGAAGACAATAAGGAATATTATTAATCTTACCTCATACCTTGCAAATGCCCCCACTCTCATATTAGCACTCTTTGCTATTGGCTTACTAAACGCTGCTTCACGGTCAATTATTTGTGGGGTGCAATGTGTAAGAGAAGGAGGATCCCTGATGAATCAAGAATATGCAAATAATATCAATCTAACAAGCAGGACAAATTATCACAAAAGCGCGGGATCGCTCTCATTTTTACGGTGCATGATGATTAATTAGCCAAGTTAATCATAGAGCTCACTAAAATTTACTTTCTCAAAAGATGCCTTGTTTATTCAACCGCAACGTTACGTAAACAAACGCTGTTCCTCTTCAAGCTTTTCCCATGAAGACTGTCCCAGCTATCGTTTTTGTTTCTGAGATGTGCAGTATCTTTTGGCACACAAAGCTTTTAGCGGAATTTATTACAAATTACCTCTTCTTAGCTTATTCTGTACCAATTAAGAATTTCAGTTTTTCTTGCTTTTAACAAATCTGTCAGTAAAAATATTGCACGAGGGGATTAGCTTTAGAAAAAGGTGATTATGAATGTGTATTTGGAGTTCTAACTTATAGGTTGCGCATCAATTTATCACATGTGAAACATACATTTGAATTTATTTACAGAAAATGAACAGAAATGATGAGCAGTGGATGGACCAACAATGTAAAGCATAACCTTTGATTCAGCTGGCTTGCAGCTGCTCAGACAATCGCCGGGGGCAGGCGGCCAGGCGATTTTTGGGCAAGCGGGCACCGGAAAAATAGTTTGCTGATTTCTTGCGGTCCGCTTGCAGATATTTGGAAGAATTTTAGCGAAATCTTAGACGAATGCTTGAAGAACAATTGCGGTTTCCTTGCAGATTAGCTGCGGCGCGTGGCCGCATTCTCGCGGATTTTCCGCGAGATTATGCAAAATTTTCGAGGGCCGCACGGTTCTTTATGGAGGACCGCGCAGCCCCCAGGTACTTTCCGCTGAGAGAAAGTACCTCAAACTTAAGCAATTAAACCATCGATGACTTCTCTGCCATGTAGAGTTAGAGTCTCACCTTTGCTCGGCGAACACCCGAAACTGCTTAAAAACCGTCCAAGCGCCAGCTGAGAATTTGACCAGCGCTCGCTGAAAGAGATTATACGAGCGCCTGCAGAAAATTCTGTGTTGCTGCCCGCTGGCAGAACATTAGACAGTAGAGGAAGTGCCGCCCGCTGAAGGTTTGGCCATGCCCCAAAATTCTGCTGACCGCCTGCAGAAAAACGCGAGTTTGCAGACCGCCTGCCCCCGGCGATTATCTGAGCACCCGACTTCTATTGATCTACCAAAATCTCACCCTCATTTCGACTAGCTTTGTCATATTCTTTGTTGTCGTACGCCCGTATCAAATGACACTGAGGAAAGAGGAAATGCATTTCGTGACTCATCAATGGAAATAAAACCTCATTAATACAGAATAATCGCTTGAATTCATTAGCACTCATTTTTGGTTTGAGGAGAATGGGAGTGGGATGATGTGGTTTGTTGGGTATTTCCTGTTGAGTCAAGAAGAGGAGTGGAGCTTTTGATAAAATCTGTCAGGGTGGGGATTTTGAAGATATGGCTTAAAGGCATTCATACACTTCATTGCTCATCTTGATTCTAAGAGTCACGACCATGTAACGACCACGACTTCCGGACTTTGATGTTCTGTGCTGATTGCACTTCAGCGTGTACGCAACAAACCCGTCGCCAGACATTGCCCCCGCCATGGCTCCCATAACATCGCGCATGCATTTGTTTCGGAATCATCCTAATTGTGCATATCAGTGCGTTCTGGCGGACTAGCCAAAGCCGTCGAGGGGTTTTGTCTGAAGGGGGGGGAGGGACATGCTAATTTCGTTGTCATCACAATCGCGCCAAATGCCGTGCGCCGCGGTGGCGGTAGACAAAGAACCGTTTAAATAAACTGCGACTGCAGCTTAGACTTAAGACGAACGACATGCGGATGACCAGACAAAATTCCAAAGTGTCAATTTGTTGTAAAAGGCAACAAGGATTTAGCCATCTAAGTTTTTCCTCTTCCTTAGGAGCAAGAAAATTACAGTGTCTTACTTCTTCCTGGCGGAACTACCCGCTACCACTCCGTTTTTCCTTTTTTTTGTCATCTTATAGATTTCGCGAAAAATCTTAATTAAAGCTTTTATTTTTTTTTTTGCCTAACTCTGTTTCTCCTCACCAAAGTTCTATACTTTTGCATAATAATTCAGCGATTCTTCCCATTAAGAAATTTCCGAAACCTTGGTAACTTTCGGCACTCTTGTTCATAAACAACCAGCTAGTGCTGCTTGAGATTACTTCTTATTCAGACCCGAGTTTTGCTTTTCATAACTGGAACACATTATCACGTCGCAATTGCTTTATTTTCACTATCGCACCAGAAGTAATTGAGATTTCTACAGTTTTATCTTATGGCGTTGTCAACTTTCCCTCCACTTCACTTTCGTGTAAATCTTTCGTAACATGTATAATACAATTCTTTACAACGGAAGTTTCACGAAGACTCACTCTAAATTCGTTTGCTGGGGTGTAAGCAATGTAGAATCTAAATCGGATTTGGAGTCGACGTTTTATTCACTGAAGTAAGCTCTTATATGATTCATTTTAAGAGCTTAGGATAATTTTCATGTCTCTAGGCTAGTGATTATTGATATTTCTTCCTCGAAACTCCAAAATTTTATAGTGACAAACCAAACCATTGCGTGGACCGTCGGACCGTCGGTTCGATAGCTCAGGGGCCTCAAAAGTGAAGGTTGTATATAGAAATCAAGGGAAGAAAAAAAGATACAAAACAAGTAGCAAAAGCAAAAGAAACTCTCGAAAACCGCACGAAAACAAAGCGGAGAGAAATCTTTTATTTGGCAGTATAATGGCAGGTTTTCTCTCCAAAACCAGGCGATCCATAATACGGGTAAGGGGGGGGGGGGAGGAAGAGCAAAAGCTAAATTGTTCTTAGTGATTGTTCAAAAAAAAACAAGTTTTGGAGGTGATGATTATCAAGAAGACGATAAACAAGAAAACATTTGGCTATGAAAATGCAACGCTTTCGTTTCTACTAACAAGGGAAGAAAGGTTGGTCAAAAAGACCTTCTGAAATGAGGCGTACACTGCCTTATAGAGCTTGGAACGCTGGTCCCAAATCCACCTTTGCTATCTGCTGCGGACTTCTGGGCGAGGAGTTATGAAGGTTTTTGTG